ATTTGATTTCTCACGGTCCCTTGCTAGTTTTAAGAAATCTTTCTTTTCCTGGTCACTAACTGTAAGCCTATCTCTAAAATCTGAGGTCCTGTCCTCATATTGGCCTAATCTGTTTTGAATACTTCCATGAAGTTTTTACTCTCCTGGATATCTGCTTGAATCTACTTTATTGATTTCATTTCTTTCCTATGCTGCACTTTCATAATTTGCTTAAGCTCATGGTGTGTGTTTTGGTAATCTCTGTAGTTATCTGAGAGATTATTTCTGATTTAATTTTTTCCAGAGCTTCATTCAATTGTTTTGTTGTTCACTTCAGAGAGGCCTTGTGGGAGGCTTTTGATTGTCCCACCTCGTTGGCCCCTGGGTTTGCCTTTGGTGAACTGGATGTCTGGGGCTGCATCTTGTTTAAGTGTTTTCTCATTTGTTTTCTTTTTTTTTAGTTTAATTCCTGGGGTGATAGTTGTAAATTTCCTATGGTGGGTTGCTTTATTGGTGGTATTTAGGACCCTTAGGTGATGATTACTTCTCTGAGGTATCTTCCAAGCGTAGCTGGTTTTTGAGTTTTGAGTCTGTTGGAAGATCTTATTTCTTCAGTTTGCTGGAGATGAGAAGTTGTTGCTCATTTGGCCCAGTCCCTGGTTCTTTGGCACTGTGCTACAGTATTTTGTGACCCTTAGTTAATCTCAGCCATGGATTATCAGGGCCAATAGCCGTTTAGAACAATTATGTTAATTTTGGCTGTAGTGGTACCAATAACATCAAACACAGCCTATAAAACAACAAACTGAGCCAAATCTTACTTTGCAACTTTTAACCATATATGAACTAGATTTGTGATAACAGACTGTAAAACAAACCAGATAATTATATGCAATATATAAGTCTGTAATGTGTCAACTCTGCCCTCAGGGTTAAAATTTAAAATGGATTGACCTTTTTTTTTTTTTTTTTTTTTGGTACCGGGGATCGAACTCACGACCTCACATTTGCCTGGCAGGTACTTATGCTGCTGAGCTAAATCTCCAGCCCCCAAATTTAAAATGGATTAAGGAGAAAATAGAGAAGTGGAAGAAGAGAAAGAGATTACAAGAAAAGTTGGAGGACGAACGTGGATCCCACCAACTTGGGGAAACTGGTGCAGAAGACTGAAGGAAAAGAGATGGAAAAGATAAAAGGAAAAACAGAACAGAACCACTCACCCTCACAAAAAAAATGGAGAATGAGAGAAAACAAAAAGAAAGAAAGAAAAACAAATAGTCCACTTCCAGTATCCTCTCTGGGTTTGCCAGTAGATAGCCTGTGGAGACCAAGTCCTGGATCAGGCCACTGTATCCCAGCAAGCCAGCAGTTGCTTTATGGCAGAGAAGTAGATAACCTCAGCAGGCCTGCCCTGAGACGAGACTCACTGAGCTCACCACAGTCCAAACATGGGTCTACACGTAGCTAGGAGCTGCTGGAGGAAGCTGGCAGCAGTTCTGGTTCTGGGTTTAGCCAGCCCGACTCCAAAATGGCTCCTGACCAATCACTCTCTCCACAGGAGAACTGAGTCCTCTGTGCTCACTCCATGTCCACCGCTCCCCTCCACTGCTGTGTCTCTCTGCAGAGGCTGCTGAGGTCGCCAGCCACCACTGTCACTGTGACTGTGCATCCCCAGGTTTGAACAGCTCCTCTCATGTAGTGAGTCCGGCTGAGAGCGAAGGTGCCATCAGCTACCGCCTTCTTCTTCCTTGAAGTTTGTCTTTTTACTCTCTCTGTGGGCTTCAATTCACACTTCAGAGTCTTCCTAGACCCAGAGGACCCACTTCCTTCCTTCCTCGCCCTCACGATGCTGTATTCCAGCATCTGGATGGTGACTGTCAAGAGAGGCTGGTTTCTCTGCTGCTTACTCCTCTGCCATCTTCCAAAACTTGTATTTCTTATACTGAACATATTTCTGACATTTCAAAAGATGAAACTGGGAGAAACAGCCTGTTCCCATGGTTAGTAAGGTACAGATTTGATGAGCCTTGACACTCCGGGTGCCAACTGCAAGATAAGTGTAGCTCGGCCAGGAAGGAATGTTTCTCTTACTTGAGAGTCCCAGAGAGTTCTCACTGCAAGGTCTCCTCTGCCGGGTCTCCGACAATGATGGATTCTTCCCCTGTATTGTATAGTAGTAACCTCATTTAGTTGGTTTCTGTAAGAGTAAATTCTGCCTAGCAATCAATGACAAAGACGTGTAATCAGCTGTAGGATTTCGTTATCTGCCTTTTGCACTTCCTTTTGGAAACATATGGACAATTGGAAAACTCTAGTCAGTGCTGATGATTTGGAACTGATTTCCATCAGCCCACTAGCACAATAAAGCTGCGTTCTAAGGTCCTCTGGTGTCGTGTCTCCATTTGGTCTGGTCCTGAATTCCACATTAGTCCTGCCTCAGCCTCCTGAGGGCTGGGATCATGAGTATGTGCCACCACCGCACCTGACTTGAGAAGGACAGCTCTGACTAGAACACGTACCTTTCTGTTCTGATGGGCTGAGGCAGTTCCTTTAGGGACGAGAAGCACCGCTTGTCACTGTCACAGACCCTCATTGGTCTGATTTCTCCTCGTCACCTCCACCACACTCAGCCCAACTGCCACTGAGGTTCTCTTGCGTGGCTAAACCAAGAGGCTTAAGGAGAACAGTCCTCCAACCCTCGCTGGAGCAACACCATTTTGCTGTGGACCCAGGAGGAGCTGAGGCTGTGTGCCGGGCTGCAGCGCCACGAGTTTATCCATCCTCACTGACAGTGCTGGCTGCAACAGTGAACTCTGGTAAGGACAGGGCGGGAACAGAGCACACACAGACACAGGACTTCTCCACCAAGTCTATTTTCTTATGCTGTTTTCTGCTGTTAATAACTCAGTAGCAGAGCACAGCAGAGTAGGTAGTGGTAGAGCGTTTGTCTAGCACATACAAGGCTGGGTTCAATCCCCAACACTGTGGCATGGAGGAACTTTCGTCTCCCTTTTTATGGAAAAAGTCATTTGGGTTAGGTAAATTTAGTCTATTTTGCTTTGTTTTTAGGCAGGGTCTGTGTAGTTTTGGATAGCCTTGAGCTCACTATATACCCCAGGCTGGCCTCAAATTTCTATAGATCCTCCTGCTTCAACCTCATGAGTGTTGGGATTACAGGTGTGTCACACCACACGCAGCTGGGAAGGTGTTATAGGTCAGTCCTAGGGAGAAATTGGGAAAACTCCAATAATTGGCCCATTAATTTAAAATCTACTAAATTGTAATGGCCATCTGTACTTCCTTCAGAGGTCAAGCAAGCAAAATAAATCATTACTGAACTCAGTAGACACAAAAGCTAGAAGAAAAAGGCTAAAATCATTGCCATTTGGGGAACACGAAAGTAGTCAAAAGTTCCACCATAACGTTAAATTGTTTTTCTTATAATACAGGACATGGGCATTATCCCAATGAGATATGTCATTTCTTTGGAGTAGAGAATTGTGGACTAAAACATTAAAGCTTCACACAAGCCTGAGTACAGGGGCCAACTCCCAAAGACCCTGCCACAGCCAGAGCCACAGCCTGCAGCACAGGCCGGTGAGCTGAGGCTCTAGCGGAATGGTCCTCCCAGCCCAACAGGAACCCAATGAGCAGGGCCTCACAGTGCCTCAGGAGGCCCAGCAGGAGTGGCAGCAGTGGTCACTGCTGTTTAAACTTAGGATTTCTTTTACTCTAACTATGCAAATGGGGTAACAGAGTGGCAAAAGGACTTTTCACACACAAGTGCTCTCACAATAGCACCCCTGGCCAGCTCCTCTGGATCCAGGGTAGAAATCACTGGAGTAACAGCACAACACAGCTGTGAGTTTTTAAAACACTTCCTGGATTGAGTCAGACAAAGGTACAACAGTGAGGACTCTCTGGACTTTACGAGAAGCCTGAATCATGAGGTGCCTGGGAAGGGCCTGGGGAGGCCCTGGGAGGGCTGGCTGAGGTGGGGCCATGAACTGCTAAGGACACCCTGTTCAAGAGCTGCTCACAAACACACCTGTCCCAGCCCAGTCCTGCCATGTGACTGTCTGTAGAACAGTCCTGATCTCATGTTTGCCACCTGACCTTGACAGGTGACTAAATCTGCCAGCTTCCTCTTGTTTTTGTTTTTTGAGACAGGGTCTATGTAGTTTGGGCTGGCCTTGACCTCATGGTGATCTTCCTGCCTCAGCCTCCCAAGTGTTATGGTTAAAAGTGTGCACCACCACACCAGGCTGGCCTCCTCTTGGTAAGTGGGGACAATCGGAAGGCCTGTGTCTTTAAAGTCATGAAGGCATCCAGTCCCCACATAGGATGACGGTGATGGGACTCAACTTCATGCTGAAGGATGCAGGACATCCAAGGTAAATTCTCAACAGGTGAAGAAATAGGTACTGGAGAAACAGCAGGCACCTACAGTCCCAGATAGAAGGTAGCTGAGGTGGGTGGACCACTTCAGCCCCAGAGACCAAGGCCAGCCTGAGTAACATAGGGAAAACCCATCACAACAAAAAAATAAAATAAAATAAATAAAAAGCCAATATGGTGACACATGCCTGTAATCCCAGCACTTCAGAGGCTGAGGCAAGAGGATCACTCTGGACTAGTGAGTTCAAAGCCTGGCTGGACTACATAACAAGAACACGTCTCAAAAAAAAAAAAAAAAAAACAAAAAACAAAAAACAAAAAGCTACGGGCAAAGAGGACAGAGGGGGAGAACACAGCAAGTGGCAGCTGCATGCTAGAGGAACAAAACTCATCAAAGCAAAAGCTAAGACTTTGGCTGAGATGGAGGATGTAGCTGAGTGAGAGGGCACTTGCCTGGCATGCACCAAGTTTGATGCCCAGGGCAAAAAAAGAAAAAGAGGCTAGCAATTGGTGCACAGGAGAGGTCCATATGGAGTGTGAAACTCCTGCACACATTCCCTTAGCAACAGGCCTGTCACACCTGGAGCTTGTCCAAGAAGGGTAGACAGCGACAGCTACACCCATGAGAGCACATTCGTCAGATTTATTCCAAAGTTTCACCCTTTCACAGGGACAAGTTACCTGTTCTTTTTTTTTGTTGGTTTGAGACAGTCTCATTTAGTCACTAAGCTGCCTAAGCTAGAGTCAAACTTGCCATTTTCCTGCCTCAGCCTCCCAGAGTGCTGGGATCACAGGGCAGTTATCAGTTCTTTCTTCGTCTTTCCCTTTAGTCCTAGAGACACGGGAAGGCAGCCATGAAAATAAATGCGCAAGTGACCACAAGATGATGAGCAGCCCTCTGGAGAGGGATGCAGACCAGCTAGTAAAGACATAGCTCTGGGACTATGGCTCTTCCTGGGCCATCAGGGCCACTAGTGCTGTCTGTACGGCTGTAGCCTGGGCGGGGGGCAGCAGGCAGTCCTGAATGAGGGCCACAGCGGTTGCCTCTGTCAGGCTGCTGAAGTCCTGGGCTGTTTTGACTGGAAGGTGCCCAGCCAGCTCACAGAGGGCGACATTGAAAGCCTCACCCTCCTTTATTCCAAAACTGGACTTCCGGGCCCACAGGATCACTCGGACCCCTGCAAGGGCTGAGCAAGGCGATGCCCTTCCAGGTGGGGCTCCCCGTGTCACAAATAAGTTATGTGCAATCTCCTGGTCAGCCAGATAGTCAGTGGCCCGACAGACCCTCCTAATCACAGCTTCCAAGTCAGGCCCGGGCCCGCTGACGTAAAAGAGGAAACCAGGAGCAGGCAAGGTCTGCAGCAGGTGCAAATGACCCCCTGGGTCCAGGGGCTGGCTGGGCGCCCCCTCCACAGGCAGCCTGTGGGCCAGGTAATAGCCATGCAGGTGGAGGTGGTTTACTGAGGCCAAGCCCCCCAGGCTGTTGAAGCCCACTCGGAAGCCTGGGTGCGAGCTCAGCAGTACAGCCTCCAACCCAGCCCGCAGCACCCCTGGCAGCAGGCGCTGGGGCAGCCCTTGGGCAGGCACAGGCACAAAGAGCACATGCCCCCACTCTAGTGGGCTGACATTGATCACCACCAGGATGTCCTCCTGTGGAAGGGCACCAGGCAAGTCAGGCTCCCGGTGCAGATGGAAGAGGACTTCTCCAGGCCGGATCTTGTTGAAGTTAAACTGTTCTGGGTCGAATGCCTGCCTCACACTCTTGATGTTTTGGGGGCACCTTCTCTGCATACCTCTCTCCACATTCAGCTGAGCCACAAAACCCACAGCACCAGGAAGGACTTGAGTCTGCAGCTCCCCCAGGAGGTAGCGAAAGAATCCCAGCTCCATCCGTTGCTGCCAGGCTGAGCAGAGTGCAGAGTCGAAGCGGGACAGTGTCCAGGAATCCAGGATACTGGATGGACGGCTAGGCCACTGCACCCCTCCCACGACGAGCTCCTCCTGCCCATACACAAAGGCAGGGGCACCCTGCTCTCCCCAGTCTTCACAATCTGGGGGCAGCAGGTAGGAAGTTCTGTGGGTGTCAGACAGAACAGCCATGGAGCTGCCCTGAAGCTGTTATAAAAGATGAAAAGCAGGATAGTAACACATTCTTACAAATGTTCATTCTCAAGTAATTACTTTTTCTCTGATTACAAAGGCAATATATAAGGGCTGAGGATATAGCTTAGCAGATAAGCACCTGCCTGGCAAGCACAAGGTCCTGAGTTCAATTCCTGATTACCCCCCCCCCAAAAAAAGTGCCACTACAAAAGCAATATAATACACAGCTTTGGTAGAATATTTTTAAAAAAGAAATTTCTCCTAATTCTGTTGCCTGCAGATGAATGTTTTTGCTGAATTATAAATATTTATTGATGGGGCCGGGGATTTAGCTCAGTGGCATAAACTCCTGTCTGGCAGGTGCAAGGTTGTGAGTTCGATCCCTAACCGCAAAAAAAAAAAAAAAAAAAAAAAAAAAAAAAAAAAATTATTGAGGGGCTGGAGATGTAGCTTAGTGGTGGTAGGGTGCCAGTCGAGTGTGTGAGAGGCCCTAGGTTTGATTCTAGGAAACACCAACAAAACAACAAAACAAAACAAGGACGTACACAGTTTAGAGGCTGGGGGTATAGCTCAGTGTCAGGGTACCTGCCAAGCATATGCAAGATTCTGGATTTGGGTCCAGCCTCAAGAAGAAAAAAGTATATAGACACATACACACATATATGTGTGTATATTTATATATTTAAATACATGTATACACGTATACAGAGAGGAAAAAGAGAAAACATAAAGACAAAATACAACCTGTATCTCCAGTGCCCAGGGAAAACCTTGTTTGCATTTAGCTTCATATTCATATGTACATTGATTTTTTTTTTAAGCATTGCTTTTGGTTTTTTGAAACAGGGTCACTATGTAGCTTAAGTTGGCCTCAAATGCTTCAGCCTCCCAAGGACTGGCATGTGCGACCACATCCGAATATACTGAGTCTCTAGATTTTGACTTTAAATTTAAAACACTCTTCAACTTTTGTACATATAAAAGTAGGTTGTGCGTGGTGGCACAAGCCTGTCATCCCAGCACTCAGGAGGCTGAGGATTGCTGCGAATTCAGTGCCAGCTTGGGCTACATAGCAATTCAAGGTCAGTCTGGACTACAGAGCAAGACGCTGTCTCCAAAAGAAAAACAAACAGACAAATAAATAAATAAATAAATAATCCTAACCTTGGTTCCTGCTCCCAGCAGTAGTACAGGTTCATTCATTCGTTGCATGCATATCCCATAAATATCTATTGAGAGTCTAAATACCAAGCACTGTCCTTGGGTTAGGAGGGGACCAAAAGCAAGGGTCTCTGCAGCCAGCGAGGAGCACAAGTAGCGGCAGGTGGGATCTTCAGGGCGTGCCGCCTGTAACTGGGGAGCCGGGCTGCGCAGGGAGCCGGACAGGGTAGGGAGCCTTGGAGTAGAACCCCCTCTACAGGACTGAGCCTGACAAGTCACTGAAAATGCTTTGGACTTGTGCACTTACATTTTGCAAAAGAGACATGGGGCTGGGGTGGTAACTCGCGCCGCGTGGTAAAGTCATGATAAGCCTTCTCTGGGAAGACGGCAGCCCACGGCCTCCACCACCCAGCAAGTCCCGAGGCTTCCCGGATGCTCTTCATGAACTTCCTAGTTGCTTTTTACAGGTTCCCGCCCAAGGATGCAGTCAGTGGTCAACACCTACCCCAGGTAAGGCGGACGCATCTGGAGACTTGGCCAGCAGCTGCCACCGGGTCCTTAGCTACGCAGCGACGCCCTTAGCGCAGGCGCGTCTGCACCACGCGTGCGCAGAGACCGGCCCTGCCCAGCAGGAGGCGGGGTCCGAGTGCTGGTCCCGCCCCAGCCCGCCCCCAGCTCTCTCGGCACAGCGGGGTCCCGGAGCTCGGCGACCAGACTGCTCCGCGGTACCGGTGCGCTGCGCCGAGGTCGGGCCGGGGGCGGGGTCTGAGCTGCGGTTGCCGCAGGGACTGAGCGGGACGCGACTCGAGGGCGGAAGTGAGGAAGTTGGCGTCCCCAAGAGCGGCGGAGCTGTGCGCGCGGCGGCCATGGGGGGCTCGGGCAGTCGCCTGTCCAAGGAGCTGCTGGCCGAGTACCAGGTGCGCGGGACACCACCTTCGGGGCCTCGCGCGCCGCCTGCGCCCGGAAGAGGGGGTCTGGGCGCGGCGGCGGCTGCTCGCTTAGCACCATTCTTTGCCTTTGCCTTCCAGGACTTGACGTTCCTGACCAAGCAAGAGATCATCCAGTGAGTGTAGCCGCGACTCCCACTTCCTGGGCGCCCTGGGACTCCTCAGAGGCGGATTTAGGGGCATGGCACCCCGGCAGCAGCAGGGCCGTAACTAGAGGCCACCCCTCAGGATCCAGGAAAAGCTGGGCGCTGTTTGACCCTACACTTGCCTCCGCAACTTCCTGCCCGGGCCTGGTAGCCCTGCCCCAGCTGTCTGTCACCTTTGCCCCCTAGCAAAACCAGAGACACCTTGGGAGCCCAGCGATGCCTTGCTCCGACTTTACCTGAATAATACAGTAACCGTTAACGCTTGTGGAGCACTTAGCACGCCAGCAACTACGTTAAGGGGTTCCTTGCTTTGCCCAGTTCCATCTTGAATAGAGAGGTACAGGAAAAATAAGCAGGTTTCAAGAGGTCAGTGATTTGTCTAAGACTGTGCTGGGAGGAAGAAGACTTCTGTGGGCCATGGCACCAGAGGCTTCCCTGGGCAAAGGCTGTTGCATTTGGAAAGGGGTGGCAGTTGAGGAGCAGCAGTCCCTGGAGTGAGGATGTGGTTTTGCTCTTTTTTCCCTGGTGTTAATGGCCAGCTTCTGGCCCCCTCTGCAACCTCTCCATCCAGCAGGCATCTCTGGATCGAGCCTGGCACACAGCAGGCCCTCAGGAAGCCTTGTCACAAGAAAAAGGCTCTCAGGCAGTCTTATCTCCCTTTGACTGACCATTGCCTGATGACTTAAAAGTTCTGCGTGTGTGGCTTAGTGCCCACCTGGTTATAAGGGGCTGCCAGACAAGGAGTGGGGATGTAGCGCCCTCAAAGAGACTGGAGAGGGGAGTGCCAGTGACTTCCCCTTTTTCTGACAGAGCCCACAGGCGGTTTTCTGAGCTGCTTCCTCGGGAGAAGCAGAATGTGGAGGACTCGCTACGAGAACGTGTTTCCTTTGAGGATATCCTCAGCCTTCCAGAGCTCAAGGTACGAGCCCTGCACCTCTTCGTGCACCTTGCTTTGCTAGATTCCTGTCTTCCTGCCACTCTGTGTAGATCAGAAAGTACCTGGTTCCCATTCTGATCTCTGTTCCTTTTCGGTTTCCTTTTTTCTTTTCTTTCTGAGCTACAGTGAGTTCAAGTCCAACCACCAGACCTTGTTTCAAAAAGAAACAAATAGGCTAGGCATGGTGAAGCACATCTGTGATCCCAGCACTTGGGAGGCTGAGGTAGGAGGATTGCTGTAAGTTTGAGGCCAGTGTGGGCCAAATAGTGAGTTCAAGTCTAGCCTGAACTACACAGCAAGATTCTGTCTCAGAAAATGAAACAAAAACAGGACTGGGAATATAGCTCAGCAGCACAGTGCCTGCCTGACAAGGGTGAAGTCCTGAGTTCAATTTCTGCATATATATATATATATATATATATATATATATATATTTTTTTTTTTTTTTTTTTTTTTTTTTTTTTCAGCCTAAAGAGAGTCATTTGCAAGTTCAAGACCAGCCTTGGGCTATAAAGTGAGCCCAAGGCCAGCCTGAAGTGCATAGTGAGACTCTGTCTCAAAAAGACAACAGTAACAACAAAAAAGCCTATCTTGCCCAATGTTTTGGCTACCTTCCTCAGGCCTTATGCCTTTGGGAGGCTGCCCTGCCCCTTCTCCAGCTGCTAATTGGCTCCTGTGCTACGGCTGGCCTGAGTTACATAGTACTAGTGCTGTGACCTGTCCCTCCACTTGTCAGTGGGGTTGTACTGAGTGTGTGACCAGGGCTATGACTGTGGCACTTACAAAAGCTCACGTTCCCAGGCCAACCCCTTCAAGGAACGAATCTGCAAGGTCTTTTCCACATCCCCTGCCAGAGACAGCCTGAGCTTCGAGGACTTCCTGGACCTCCTGAGTGTGTTCAGTGACACGGCAACCCCAGACATCAAGTCGCACTATGCCTTCCGCATCTTTGGTAAGGGTCCCAGGGGCTGGTTGTGTGTTCCATCTGCACTGTGCAGGGAAACGGGAGCCCCTAGTGTAGCTGCGAAGCTTTTCCTGATTGAAGTTCCTTCTTGGTTTCCTTTGTGTGCTCGCTAGACTTCGATGATGATGGAACTCTGGACAGAGAAGACCTGTGCCGGCTTGTGAACTGTCTCACTGGGGAGGGCGAGGACACTCGGCTCAGCACTTTGGAGATGAAGCAGCTTATTGACAATGTGAGTGGTGGTCTGGCCAGGCCTGGGCACCCTGGGCATGGGAAGGAAGGGCTAAAGCTCTCTGGTTCCCAGATCCTGGAAGAGTCCGACATTGATAGGGACGGGACCATCAATCTCTCTGAGTTCCAGCATGTCATCTCACGTTCACCAGATTTTGTCAGGTATGACAGTGGTCTCCCTGCCTTTCAGGTACCCGTGGGTCCCTGTCTGCTGCATTTGGATCTGGGATGCTATTATGGGAGGTGGTACTGAGGCAAGAGAGAGCTCTGGATCCCCCAGAATGTCTCAGGTCACTCTTCCAGTGGGAAGGTCACCCATGTACCCAGATACAGCCCATTCCAAGGAAAAGTCTTAGGAGAGAGGTGAAAAAAAATTTTTAATTTTATGTTTTTTGAGCCAGGAATCAAATTCAGGACTTCATGCTTGCTGGGGGGGGGGGGGGGCACTGTGCTGCTGAGCTCTATCTCCGGCCCCTGGGTTTAGTTCCTACCTTCCTCTTCCATCAGAAAATCCACCTTGGGCTGTGGATGTGGTATAGTGCATGCTTACCATGGGTGAGGCCCTGGCTTCCACCCCTACTGCCAAAAAACAGACAAAAGTCAAAAAGGAAAAGAAAAAGAGAAAAGAAAACCCAACCCACTCTTTTCTTGTGCAGCTCTTTTAAGATTGTCCTGTGACTGCAGTCCTGGTGTGTGTCGTAGCACACCCTGTCCAAGACCTTCCCACTGCCGAGCTGTGGTCTGGGTCATGTCCACGTCATCAGGGCCAGCCAGCTGGCCCAGCCTGGAGCTGGCACTGCAGTGGGCTGGGGCAGGGAGCACCCTCCCCGCTCCTCACTGCTGCTCTCATTGCTGTTTCTACTGATCAATAATAAAGGTTTCAGAAGTTTTGACTCTTGTATGTGACACTAGAAACACTGGTGGGGAAAGATTGGGCTTTTAGAGACCTTTGGTCATGTTCGGAATAAATTCCATCTAAAGAAGGGGCCAGCAGGAAATGAAGCCGTACTCCCCAGCCTCACCCACCCAATTTGGGCAGATCTCTTGGTTCCTGATTATGGTGGTGGTTACATGCATTTCTACATGTTTTCTCTGTTTTTCTACATTGAGACGAGGGCCTGTGCCTGGAATGATGTCAAACTTCTGGGCCTAACTTCCCTGCGCCTCAGCCTCCCAAGTACCTGGGACTGCAGGCACCTGGCACCCTGTCCAGCCATGTGTTAAAATCTGAAGGCAGTACACTGAAAGAAGAAAGTGTACACTGAAAGCAGGCCAAGTGACTGCTTAAAAACTTTTAAAAGAATGCACAGTTCCAGGGGCTGGGGATTTAGCTCAGCAGCATAAGCACCAGCCTTGCAAGCAGGCGGTCGGTACTGATTGAAAACAGTTCCTGCCAGGCATGGTGGTACACACACCTATAATCCCAGCATGCAAGAGGCCAAGGCAGGAGGGCTGCTGTGAGTTTGAGGCCAGCTTAAACTACATAGTGAGACCCTACGTAAGTGAATGGTTGTGTAGCATGCCTGAGGCCTTAGGTTCAATCCCCCAATGAAACAAGGAAATAAAGGATTTGAGCTGAATGGATCAACCCTGTCCCAGGAACTGGGTAATGTTGACCACAAGCTGGGCTGCTTCAGGCTCTCTGGAGCCTGAAAAGAGGTTCAGAACCCCCAGAAACATCAGTCTCAAACAGTACAAGTCTTTTTAAGAGGAAAGATGATTAAACAATATTTCTCCAGACTTATTTTAAAAAAGAAAAAGTAAAGTGCATTTTATTAAAAAAAAACAAATACAAAACCCACAGACGTTCAGGGCCCTGTGCTGGGCAGTGTAAATACCCCTGAAGTGGAGACAAGTGATGGGGAACTTGGCTAGGATAGGCCAGGCTCCAGCGAGTTCCCTGTGCTCGAGTCTGAAGGGGGCTGATGTGTAAGGGACACACAGTTCTCAGGCTGGGATGAAGGAAGGCAGTAAACAGTCTCTGAGGGCAAAGGGCTACGTGGTCATAAACTCCTGGGCTCATGCTTCTCCTTCGTGGCCACAGCCTGATACAGGCCAGAAAAGTCCAAGAGCAGGGTCTGAGCCCAGGGCCTGGGAGGGCTGCAGAGCCAACCAGCCCTCTGGTCCCTGAGGTGCAGGAGATGGCACCAAGCTACATCCTGGCTGTGGCTGGCACAAGCTGGCCACTGGCTCTGGTGAGAAAATGCAGCAGGGCAGTAGGCTAAGGCGAAGGTGGAAGAGGCCAGTTAGTGCAGGTTTTCATCTCTGTCCCATACCACCTGCAATTTGTCCCCGCAGGGCTGGGAGGGAACTGGGTGGCGATGTGTGGCATCTCCGTTGCCTCTTCCCATGCCCTCTGGTTTCACATTTTCAGCTCTTTTTTTAAACAAAGGGCTCAGTTTATGTACACAGCATTGTCCTGCTCCAACCAGGCAGGCCCCCTCTTCATAGATGACTGTTGGAGCTCTGGGCTGGGTGGTATGGGCCTTACACATGGCTGGAGGGCAGCAGGCTGGGCAGCCCCCAGGCTCCCCAGGGCAGGCACCTTGGCCACATTCATGAGACACGAGTCCACCTGTCACTCTGAGCAGTCACGGCCCTGAGGCCAAGGTAGCCTTGTCACACCACAGAGTCACGGATCTCAGAGCCCAGGCGGACCCGGGGCCGAGGGCACATAGGGGACACTTCAACAAAGCTGTCCTGGAGGCTGAGTGGCCTCTTCTCAGACTCCGTGAAGACCCGGGGTCCTGGAGAGCTATCTGACAGAGCCTGATAGCCTCGGTGGTCCAGTGGGGTGCTAGGGGGGCCGACGCCATTGAGCGGTCGAGTCTCGGGTGGCAGCACCACAGGGCGAGTCTTGGGGTGCACAGTGGCACACTCCCCCTGCTTCAGAAAGTCTTTCATGCCATCCCGGTGCCGGTAGAGGAAGAACAGGAACAGAAGCACCACAGCGAGCCCAAAGAGAGTGCACATCACCAGAAATTCATTCCAGTAGGATTTGTCCCCGCCCCAGCTGGCCCTGCCGGCAGCTGGCGCACTCACTCGTGATGTGTTGATGATGACAGGGACACTGCCACCCTGGTCTGTTCGGTGTGCCACCTCATCCTCTACCACTTCCGGGCAGTAGCTGGCCACCAGCTGCTGGAAGCCCTCCTCTTGTGACCAGCACTCAAAGACCCCCAGCCTCTCCTGGCTGCCCACCAGCAGCAGGTCTCCAGTGGGCAGCACCCGGTAGGAGGATGAGACATTGAGAGGGGCCTTGTCATGCAGCCAATGCCGGGTGGCCAGGTTGGACAGAAGGGGGCAGGCCAAAGTGTTCACTGTGTTGGGCCGGAACTGGACATGCTCACATGGCTTCCGGCCTGTGGGCACAGGAAGCACTAGGTAGTTTACAGTGGCCACAGGTTGTGACGGGCACTCTGGGGACACTGAGGACTGTCTCAAGCTCACTTTGGGGGCCCTGCTCACAGGGCTGGAGGGAGGAGGATGAGGAAAGGGATCTGTCCCACCAGTGCCTAGAGGAGTCAGGCTGAAACCTTCAGGGGGTCCCTTACCTGCTGTTACAGAGAACCGGCGCGTGGCCCGGGACATGTTGCAGAGCTCCTGGGCATTGCCCCCTTCAACGTCCTGGATCCACGGCCTAAGGCACAAAGAGAGTCTGGCATCAGCCAAGAAACCCTGAACTCTCAGACACAGACTTGGAAGTAGGGAGGGGACCAGAGCCCGGAGCACACCAGGCCCCACACGCCAGGCTGGAAGGGAACTGTGCACAGATTCCCCAGCTCACTAGGTCTCTGAACATCTCCCTTGTGCACTTAGTGCAAATCTAAGTGACAGCCTACTTCCCTGAATGACAAAAGCAGACTTTCTAGAATATGCATGTAAATATCTCTGTGTAATACACAAGCACTGACCTGCCTCACAAACCTTTCTCAGTGCAAGATTAACCAAGGCTACATCCTGCACTCCTAGTCCTTTTTCTTTAACCATTATTTTAATTTTGAGACAAGCTCTCACTAAGTTTCCCAGGCTGACCTTGAATTTGCAGTCCTGTCTCAGCCTCCCCAGTAACAGGGATTACAGGCATGTCACCACAGCTAGTTCCTATTTAGTTTCTTGAAATATAAAATAGACACTAGATGTACCCATATAAGAAGCAAGAACACTTTCATGCCTTTGGCATGCAGTAAATTTGTGTTTTCTATAAAAAAATAAACAAACCAAAAAAACCCCCCAGAATGCCACAAATGGGATAGATCCCATGTTTGTTTGAAACATTTAGGTTTTTGTTTATTTTACACATATGTAAGAAAAACCAGGAAGGAAAGAACATCAAAATCTCTGTGATTCCCTGGGGAAGGGGCAGTTTTTATTTGCTTATTTGGGTTTTATTTTTTTGTATATGCTGAATTATATTCTCAGCCCCACAGGTAGTTTTTATTTTTATACTTTTTTTTTTGAGACAAGTTCTCACTATGTGATTCAGTTGAATTCACTATGTACCCCAGCTGACCTCACACTCACAGCAGTCTTCCTAGCAGGATTCTGCCTCAGCCTCCTGATTGCTGGAATCACAAGTAATGCACCAGTATGCCTTTTCAAAAAATTTTTTAACTAAGCAGGATCTTGCTAAATTCCCCAGGCTGGACCTGGAACTTGTGATCCTCCTGTCTCAATCTCCTAAAGTGCTGGGATCACAGGCATGTACCACCACTCCTAGTTTAATAAAAAAATTTTTTTAGCTCTTACCTTACTGTTACTAAAATATGTTCTCATTCCAACCAATGTTCTACCAGGCTTTTCACAGCTGTGACATTTTCTACCCCTACCAACCCTGTCCCTGCTTGAGGTAGGGAAGCCCAGGGCTCAAGAACACTTAGACTGAGACTGGGTATAACGAGGCTGTGCACTGGACCTACACAGACCTGAAGCGGGCAATGGCCAGATGGTCTCTGGGAGCTCTCACCTGGAGGCTGACTCAGGCTGATAGAGGCTGATGTCTCTGCAGCTGGTGCCACTCCAAGCGCAGTAGGGGTCACGGGCGAGGACGCAGTCCCCACAGCTCTGGTACAGGCTGCAGTTGGCCACAGGCACCTGGACTACGCCTGAGTGAGATGCCGCATACAGCAGCCCCTGCACAGCCAGACCCCAGGGATTAGAGGTGGGCGTGGGCACCAAGGGCACAGCCAGACCCAGGGCTACCACCCATGGCCACACCTAGCTGGCTTGCCCACTAAAGCTTCCCCTAAGGGCATGGTCATCCTCCTGATATCCCAACTTCCTGATAGCCCATGCCATAAGGCTGGATTCCATGTTGCACCTCGCTGGGGCAGGAGAGGAAAAACCAGGTGGGCACTGCCTGGTGCCAAGGAAATGCCACCCCCAAGCACATGGCCTTGGCTCCTGCCTCACCTACTCACCCTGTGGCTGTCCAAGAGCAGGTTCTGCACAGGCTGTCCAGGCAGGAAGACCTGTAGCTCCTCGATGATGTGCATCCCTTGGCCGACACCCACTGCCTTGTGCAGCCGGCCATCACCTGGGGTGAGGATGCATCTCAGCCCATTCACCATGCCTCATAGCCCACTGCCCACCAGCCACATCCCTGCCCTGATCAGCCAGGTCACAAGCACTCACCAGTGCCCAGGAAGAGGACATCATAGGTGCGGCCCAGGGCGGAGAGGCGGTGCACGGCCACTCGCTGGTATCGGGCGTGTGGCTGCAGCAGCAGCATCTGGCTGCGCACCTGTCCATCCATCAGGAAATGGTCCTTGAGGAAGTTCAGCACGCGGTCCGGGAGCTGCAGGGAGGAGTGGATCTTCCGCTCCCGGGCAGCGTTGGTGATGCACTGAGGAAGAAGACGGCAGCATGAGCCAGGACAGACAGGCCCTGTCTCCCCGGCGGGGACCACCTGACCCCTGCAGAGTGCCAGTGTGCTAGGCTGCAGGCCAAGGGCAAGACCGGGGTATCCCTTTGTGTGTACCTGGGCCTCAGCTGCCACACCCCTCTCCCGCCCCCTACCCAGCACCCTTCCTTCCACCTCTGAGCAGGGCGCGGCTGAACATGGTCCTGGGAAGTGACAGGAGATGCTCTGGCTGCCTGCTTACCTCTGCCCGTGGGGTTAAGATACTGGGGGACCCCTGAGCAGAGGCACATGTTGGCCATCGTCCCTTCACTTGGTCCCCCTCCTCCACTGGACTGTGAACTCCTTTAGTTAGCAGGTCACAGCTAACCAGACCCTAGGCAGCACACCTTCACCCCCAGAAGCGGAGGATGAGGCTCCCACTGGCACCCCTGAGGGGGACCCACAGCTCCGCTGCTGCAGAGGTAGTGTCCGGGCGCCCACCCTCCCTCCCTCTCACTGCCGATTCTCTCACACCGCTTCCAGGGTCCCCTCCCAGGGTCACTATGGGCACTCAGACCCTCTGAGGGTCAGCTTCTGGGGAGCCCACTGGGCTAGATGGGAAAAAGATAGGACTGTCACCTAGGGTCGGGTCACCTGAGACCTGCTAACTAAGGAGCTCACAGCTGAGTGCAGGAGGAGAGGACAAGTGACAGGAGGATGACAACATCCCATCCTCCCTAATGGGAGCTCGTGTCCAGCCTGAGGCAGGGTTAGACTGAAGACATCTCTACATCCATCTCGCTAAGTAGTGGGCCTAGACGTGTCCCCAATTTAAAGACGTGAAAACATCAAGAGACGCTGTGTGATCTGCCCAGGGCCCCAAGTCCTCCCGAACACACCCTAAGTACCAAGCACTGATACCCACCGACCCAGGTCGGGGTGTGGGCACCGGGTGGGTCACCGTGTACCACTGCTGCGTCTCACGGTTCACCTCCTTGTAGAGGCCGCTGAAGGCCCTCTGCACGTCATTCATGGAGAAGATGCACACGGCAGAGCCCTCGGTGGTCCCCCCATTCCTGCAACACAGACTTCAGATCAACCCTGGAGCCCTGAGCAGGCTCCTGGGCCCAGCCCTGGCCACCCTATGCCCTCCTGTGCTTAGCCAGCCCTGGGCCCTACCACTGGGATGTGAAGACCCCGTAGAAAAGGGTTTGGCGCCAGTCCTGGGGGCTGGGGCTCAGCGTGAAGACATCCTGCAGCACGTTGAATGGGAAGCCATCGTCGGGCCTTGAGCACAGCAGCTGGGCCTTGAGGAACGACGTCCAGCGCTGCTGCAGCACCCGCTCGCCACCCTCATCACCCTGGAGGAGGGGGACAGGTGAGCTGAGGCACAGGCAGGGCTGGGGCTGCAGGTGTGGGGCTGCCCCCGCCCTGCCCTCCCAGTGTTAAGAAGGAGCCAGAGCCAAGACACAGTTCCATCAAAGTCAAGAAAACTTCCAGGAGGGCCAAGTTTGGTGGTGTCCACCTGTAATCTGGGCACTCAAGAGGCTGCTGCAGGAGTATTGCAAGTTTGATCTCAGCCTAGCTCAGTGGTCCCTTCTTAGTGAGGCAGGTTCGTGAACAACAATATAGGAATCCAAACAGCCAAAATGATAAATTTGAAATTTAATGAACTGAGCTCAGGACCACTCATATACAGAACCCCCTCTCCCCATTTTAGGGTCTAAACAAGTGGTACCAAACTAGAAAGTTACAGAGCTTTTAAAAGAGAGAATCACGAAAGACATCCTGTTGCAAAGAATTTAGCTTGACTCTTACACTAAGTTTTGGTTGACACTTGTATCCTGTTTTTTTTTTTTTTTTTTTTTTTTAGCAGATTAACTTTTCTCCTGTAGGTACAGCTCATTCTGTTTTTCTTGTGGGACTTATACCCTGAGTAACTTTTCTATTTTCCTGAATACAGGGTATTAGTTAAAGGTAGGGCTCAAGATGGCATCAATTATGCCAAGCTACACTTAGGGACTTTGGCAGGCTCATAAAATAAAGAGTTCATGTTTAATCAGAGATCCCCACCTCCTCAGAGCTTCCCCGGGATGAATTTAAGCACAGAACAATTCTGATGTTGGTGGTATTATTATTTGCACCTGACAGAGGAGGGAAGTTATTTCACCCACAGGGTGAGGCCCCTGCCTGGAGGCAGCTGGGCCTCCAGAGTCTCTGGCTTGAGCCCAACGCTATGCCCCCTCTGGATCTTGTGAGTCATTTCTGTGTGTACTTTTCTGCATTTTCACACTATTGCTCCAAGCCCTGAGCAAAACCAGAGATCCTTTATCTGCAGGTTCCATATACTTACCTTGCAGATTCGGGCCACACGTGACACAATGGTGTTCTCAAAGAACTCGAACTCCTGGCCGGTCTCACTGAAGAAGAAGTAGATCTTGTCATCGTCACCGTGCAAGCTGCCCAGGCTCTCAGGGATGTAGGCTGAGGCCACGAAGGCGGGATCTGTGGGGGCCGGGAGGGAGCACGGAGTCAGCAGAGGATCCTGGGGCAAATCCCCTCCTAGGCACTGGCCGCCTGCTGGGCAGGATGGACTTCACCTTGCAGCCAGTTGAGGGAGCTCTCGGTCTTGGTGGGGCGCGGGCTCTGGCTGCGGGAAATGGCCGGGTCGTTCCCCTGGAAGCTGCTGACTGTTCCTGTGTAGAGCTCCCCATCTGCCAAGAAAACATTCCCATGGGAATGGCTGCTCTGGCCGGGCTCCTTCTCCCCGCTGAGGGCCCAGAATGACCTGAACACCATCCATCCTGCCTGCACTGGGCAGACGGAAGCAGGAACTTGGAAACGTGAAACCCCAAGGCCGGCCATGGTCCCGCTGTCACCCTGGGAACTGGCACAGGGACCTGCCCTGCCCAGAGCTGACCCCTCTCCTGCCCCGACACTCACCAACCACCAGAGCTGTGGACTTGAAATTGGGGTCGAAAGGACAACGGCCCTTGCCGTCTTCTAGGAGGACATTCCCCGCCTGGTCCTGAGCCAGGGTGAAGTTCTCTATGCTCTGCAGGGGACAGACAGGTGGGCTTAGGAGGGCCAGGGAAGGAGGAGGTGAAGGAGAGCTGGTGGCCAGTGGAGAGACTGTCAGCAAGTACAGGGCGGGGGACAGGAGGGCGCAGGTGCAAAGAGAGTCTGTACCCCTCATGTGGCACCAGTTCAGTGCTGGGAGGGGCACTGTTGCCCCCATTTACCCCACAGGAGGTGAGAATCAAAAGGGCCACGCCAGGTATTTCCAGCTCCAAAACTGGGGATCCAGTCCTGGCCCCCAAGGCTGCGCTCTGCTAGAGGAGAAGGCCAGGGGTGTGTGCTGAGAGGAGTGTGTGCGGTGACAGCAGGACTGAGCGAGGGCAGGGGGCAGATGCCGGTCAGTGTCCTGGGCGGAGGAGGGCCCGGGGCGGGAGCACTCACTATGTAGGTGCACAGGGGGCTGAAGGCCGCGGTGCCACAGGTGAACAGGTGGCTGCTGTTGAGTGGCAGCAGGATCTTGATGTAGTTCTGGCAGTCACGCTAGGGGAAGGAGGGACAGTTTGAAGGCCCAGCCTTCCTCCCCAGGGCCAGGCCCAGGCCAGGGCTATGGGGACCCTGGGCTGGGGCACTCAAGGGTGGGAATGGACGAGGAACAGGAGCTTCCTGCAGAGCGGGTCCTCGCAGCAGGGGCTCTGGGCCACAGCTCGGAGGCTTGGCGGTGGTTCTCAAGGGCCTTCCAGAGGCTCTCCGGAGCCCCAAGTTCCCTCCCAACCAACTAGAGAGCTAAGTGCAGCCCGAGGCAGGAGGAAACAGCCGGCCTGAGCCTGGGCCCAGGCATGCAGCACCTGGGACCGCGTCTCTGGCCTAGTGCTGACCAGTCCCCAGGCTGCCCTGACACCTTCCAGGCCATCTAACAGCAGCGCTGTCTGCTCACTCGGCAGCTGAAGTGCTGGGCCTGGAGTTGCTTGAAACGCTAGTTTTCCACCTGCTGCTGACCCCCTAGAATGACCTCCTCCTGCTGGCTCCATCCTCAAACATGCCCCTTTTCTTTGTTTTTTTGTTTTTTTTTGTTTTTGTTTTTTTCGTTTTTATCGGTACCAGGGATCGAACTCACGACCACAGACTTCCAACGAAGGCTCTTATGCCGCTGAGCTAAATCCCCAGCCCCCTCTTTGTTGTTTTTTTTTTTGTTGTTGTTGTTTGTTTTTTTGACACAAGGTCTTACTACGTAGTTTGGGCTGACCTTGAACTCACAGTGCTCCTCCTGCCTCAAACACACATGGAATTCAGCCACTTCTCACTGGCTTTACTGACCCTGGAGCCAGCCACGGTCACCTCTCACTCCTCACTGGCCTCCTGTCCTGCCCCGTGGAGACTCTAGTATGCTGGGCAGGGCGAACCCTAAAAGCAGCAGGGACCACGTCACGAGCCCAACTATGTACTGGCCACCTCCCTCAGAGCCTTCAAGTCTGACTCCTTTTGGTTTTTTGTGGTATTAGGCCCAGATCAAACCCAGGGCCTGGCCCACAGCTGGCTAATGGCTCGTCTTAAATTAAATATAACTGGGGCACTGTTTGTTTCCTTTATTTCTCGAGACATTCTTGTCAGGTACCTCAGGCAGTTTTCCTGCCTCAATCACCTTTTAACTGATTTTGTGCTGGTTTGTTTGTTTGTTTTCACTAGGGTGGGGATTAAACCCAAGGCCTTTGCATGAGCCACATCTTTGGCCCTTTTTTTATTTTTTGAGGCAGGATACTGCTTAAATTGTTCAGGCTGGGTTTGAACTTGTGAGCTTCCTGTCTTGGCCTCCCAGAGTGCCAGGATTACAGGCGTGTACCACCATATCTGGCTTGACTGCTTTCTCTTTTCCACAATCAGCCCCACTGCCTGAAGCAGAGAGGTGTAAGTGCTTAATTAATCCTGGGATACGGCTCCATGGCAGTGCCCCTTGCCTGCAGTGGCCAAGGCCCTGGTTTGATCTCCAGTACCACAAAAAAGAAAAAGGCAGACCCAGTGCTTAATAAGTGTCTCCTGAATACAGGCACAGCCAGGACTTGAACCTGTGTCCTGACCCTAAGTCTGGTTCCCTGGATACCACCTACTGCCTTCAGGACCAGGAGGCCTCTGAAGACAGCAGGTGTCCCCCAGGGGAACCTTGGTTGCTTGAGTCAGACCCCACACAATGGTTCAGCCCAAACCAGGCTGTCAGACCTGCAACACCTGGGACCATCTGTAGATACACACAGCTCCCCTCTCCCCATCCCTGCCCAGGCTGAAGCTGATGTGTACCAGGACCTTACATCGATGAGCTCACTGCAGCCTGAGGAAGCCCAATGACACTGGTGTCCTTGTCCCCATCTTACAGGTGGGTACACTAAGGCTGGGCAAGGTCAATCAACTTGTCTGCGCTCCTAGAGATTCGAAGACTGGAGCTAGAATTCGAGCCCAGCTGTGGCTGCTGTCTCAGAAGCTGTGCCCTCTCCCCCAGCCCTGGCTGTGCCCGCCCTACCTCCTGCCTCTGCCGCCAACTCTGTACCCCCCGCCCTGTCAGCCCTGCTGCCCCACAGCTGGCTCACCTTCGGGTCCTTGCCCTTGAAGCTGCACTGCTGCTTCCTGTCTGCATCCGCGGGCCACAGCAACTGGGGGAAGAGGGGGCAAGTGTGCAGGGACCCAGGGGACCCCAGGCCGCCCTCCTTACCCACCCGCATCCTGGGAGCCACAAGGCAGACCTGCTGCTGTCCCCCTTCTGCCAGCTGGGCCAGCCCCAGAGCTGCTCACCTGCTGGTACTGCCCGCCTGGCAGGAAGCTGGCACTGCTATTGAGTGCGAAGAGGGTCTCCCGGGCACCCACGTACAGAGTGCTGCCATCCCTGCTCAGCAGAAGGGCTGTGTAGTTGGACACGTTTTGGGCTTCAAACTTGAGGATGGGGCGCTCTTTGGAGCCTGGGGGAAGGAAGATGGGAGTGACCTGGGTCTCCCTCAAGGAACCTCCTGTACAGAACTCTAGAAGGGGCCAAGTTAATGGCCAACAAGGCACTAGACGGCCTGGGGTTGGGGATGAGGTGGGTGGGGGCTGGTTTAAGGAGGAAGCAGCATTCCTGCTCTCTCCAACATCATGTAAGAAGCAACGGACCCAGTGTGGTGCCCGCCTGTCATCCTAGCACTTGGGAGGCTGAGGCAGGAGGACCACTGCAAATCTGATGCCAGCCTGGGCTATGTATTGAGTTCAACAACCGCCTGAACTACATAGTAAGACCTTGTTTTAAAAAAAAAGAAAGAAAAGAAACAATGCACAGAAATGTATGTAAAATAATGTTAATTATACCACCATTCACATGAATGAAACAGTGGAAACAGCCTGAGTCTTATCTTAGGGAGGCAATGCAAATACATGATGATACTCTGTTCTGTGGAATACTACACAGTTGGCAACAACAACACTATATTAGAACTAGTAAAATAAGAACAAAGCTGTACAAGAAACGTGTGGTCAAAATACAAAGCAAACTGTAAAGCCATGGATTCTGAGTATATAACAAGAGAAAGGAAAATACATTTAACTTGGGTGGCACTAGACCCAAAAGAAGCTTGATGTGGTAGTGCACACCTGTCATGCCAGCACTCAGGATGCTGAGGCAGGAGGATCGCCATAAGTTTCAAGTCAGCCTAGGCGACATAGTGAGTTCCAGGCAGCCCTACACTACATAGTGAGACCCTGTCTCAAAAAGAAAAAAAAGCTGGCCAAGAAAAGGAAATGCACGCACAGTCCACGCTGGTCCTGTGGCCGAAGGCGGCTCACCCTCACAGAGTAGTGCAAACAGCCCTGGTCTCCACCTTTGACTGCCAGCCAAGGCTCCCCTCGGAGACTGGTGGTTACGGAACAGAACACAAATGTTATCAGCGTGGCGTCACCGCACCATGACGCAGTGGGGCGATGGGGTGGTGGCGTGACCAAGGAAGAGTGCAGGCTCTAATTTTCCCTGGGTGAGGGGGGTCAGGCGAGAGGCACGCAGTGGCTGGGGTGTGTGCAAGGCCCTGGGCTTGATCCCAGTACTGAAAAAAATAAAGCAAAAATGCGGATTATACCAGATGTAAAGAAAAAGAAATAGAGGGCCGGGCATAGAGCTCAGCGGCACATCTGCCTAGCAAGCACAAGGTCCTGAGTTCAATTTCTGGTACCAAAAAATGAAAAAAGAAACAGAGCTTGGTGCCACATGTGTGTAATCCAAGCTATGAGAAACTGAGGTAGGAGGATCGCGAGTTGGAGGCCAGTGTGAGCAACTCTGCAAGACCCTGTCTTAAAAAGGGTTGGGAGTGAAGGGCCGGGGGCTTAGCTCAGCAGCACAAGCGCCTGCCTGGCAAGCGCAAGGCTGTGAGTTCAATCCCTGGCACAAAAGAAAAGGGAGTTGGGAGCAGAGCACCCCAGGGTTCAACCCAGTTCACACACACACAAAAGAATTTGGCAGTGGTGTCCGTGACCATGACAACTGTGGTGCCCTTACACACACACACCACTGCGCCATGCCCCAGCCTCAGCAGAGCGGCAGGGCATCAGTCACTGCGGCAGAACACCGCATGCGGGGAGGCGGTGGGAGGGGCAGCTGCATTGCTCTGAGCAGCCGGTCAGGAGGCCAGACGTGTAAGAGAGAAAGGCCACACACGCCTTCCACTTCACAGACGGGAGGGATCGCCAGGCAACGTGAACCGTACGTGACTCAGGGTCGGAGTTGCCCACTTAACCAGCTGGGCAGCCCTGCAGCAGGCTGTGCTCTGTATACAAGGCCTTTTATACTTTTCTAAATTGTGTGCAGATGCCCTTGACACAAAATTTATTATTCCTTGTTGGAGAATCTGTAATAATAAGAAGAGATACTAAGTACCTATCACCACGTGAAAATAAAGGTTATAAAACAGTATTTGTAATCAGAGTCTTTTACTTTGTGCAAACACACACACACACACACACACACACACAACACCCTAGAAAACTATATCACAAAACGCTGAAAAATGGGCTGGGTGTAATGGCACACACTGTATAGGCCCAGTGACTACAGAGGCTGAGGCAGGAGAACCCCAACTCAAGAATAGCCCAAGGAAAAAACAAACACAAAACTCCTGAAACACAGCAGGATTGCAGGTAATTACAGGCTACTTAGTTTCCTTTTCCTTTATGGTTTTTAGATTCTACAATATGCAGGTTGTGTATGAAAGTAAAAGATACAGGAACAAAGAAGCAAACGTTCCCATAGGGTGTGCTCATGCTCTGAATTACTATAGAATCTGGAGAGAAATTATTTTAAAAATGCAGAACAGCTGACAACAGAAAAGCAAGCAACAGCAGCCCCCTGACCACAGGGCTCGCCCTGACTGGCCAGTGGACTGCGACCACGCGGACAGGCCCTGAAGCCCAGGAAGGAGGGCAGGGACCGGTACAAAGCGCTGGAAAGACGTGGCCAGATGCCGAGATTTTACACCCCACGGCATGGGTTCCAGAGGGAGTGAAAACCCAAAGGAAAGAAGGCAGTAAAATATAAATATTAGCTGGGTATGGCAGCACACTCCTACAATCCCAGACCCGAGAGGCTGAGGCGGGAGATCACTTGGAGTTCCAGGCCAGCCTGAACTGCACAGGGAGATTCTGTCTCAAAGAGACAAAAATAAAGAAATAAGTAAGCATTAAACTCAGTAGGGAGAGGAAAACACATCTGAAAAAGACATCTAAACCAGAAAGGAGGGAAAGAGTCACACTGGAAGTCCTAAGGCCTTCACTCGGCTACTAGTAATGGTGGCACAATTAGCATTGAGCCACCTGGTGACCAAAGAGAAAAGAGAATGAAGTTATTTTGTCCTCACTGTTGCTTATGCCAAGCGGCCAAGGAAGATGCCAGCAGTTAACACCTCTGCCAAGGCAGAAGCTCCAACACACCCCATGCATCTCCACCACTGGCCCCAAACACTGTGAGCCAATGTGTGTGCCTTTCTGGGCTCTGCTACACTAACCATAGCATTCATGAGCAGGGACTATTTTATGCCCTGTTGCTAAATGGGGAAATCAAAGCTCAGAGGGGCTATGCAATCTGTGCAGGGCCTCCCAGCAGAGAAGGAAGTGGAGTGGAAGGCAGACACAGGAAGTTTCCTCCCTGAAACCTCACCCACCTAGCATGGGATACGCCAAAGTCACCTGGGGCCCAGGCTGTCCCTAGAGCTTCTGCCCCTGCTGGTCCGGGTGGGGGTCCAAGAAGGAGCCGTTCCCTGGCTCATAGCCCAGTGTGGAGCAGGCGACCAAGCACTGGGCAGGGCCTCCGGCAGGGCAGGCAGAGGTCAGTTTGGGGCTCACAGGTGTCTTGCAGGGTACCGGAGAGACCGGGACAAAGCACTGCTGAGCCCTCTTAGCCCCTGCTGCCCTGTGTTTCTGGGATATGCAGGGCTGCAGCCTCCCAACCCCAGCGCCCAGCTGCCACACTGGGATGGAAGATGCATCCACTTGGATGGGTCCTGCGACTCCCAGCAGGAGGCCACTCCTGGCACCTATCCAGACAGAAACACCAAGAACCAGAGATAAGCTGAAGTCCCAGGTGGCAGTGTCACCCCACTCAGACCTGGCAGGTTGGTACCAAGCTGCCCAGGGTCCCAGAGACAGAGCCCGGCTGGCCCGGCTCTCCAAACCAGCCGGCTGCCCGAGAGCCCACAGGTCGCCTCCATCCACACTGGGACAGATGACAGCAGGACAGAAGGTGCAGGCGTAGGCACAGGGCCCTCTGTGCCAAGCCTTCCTATTCTGGGGAGCCTGGCTCAGCTCCTTTCCCAAGCCATAGACTTAAAGCTATGGGCACTGAGGACCTTGGCCATCATGATCCTCTATCCTTAGGGCTGGCTTCCCCCTGGGGCAACTCAACATGACAGAGTGCAGACTGCAGCCAGATCCCGGGGTTCCAATCCAGCCCCTCACTAACTTTTTGTTTTTCACTCCATTGTGTGTGTGTGTGTGTGTGTGTGTGTGTGTGTGTGTTTTTTGGTACCAAGGATCAAACTCAGGACCTCGAGCTTGCAAGGCAGGCACCTACGCCACTGAGCTAAATCCCCAGCCCCCTTGTTTTGTTTTTCAAGACAAGATCTTGCTAGGTACCCCAGGTTGGCCTTGAATTTCCTACTGGCAGCGACCTTCTGCCCCTGGAGCGCTGGAATGACAGGTGTGTACCACCACGCCCAGCTTGTGAAGGAACTTTTGAAAGCTTCACTTTCCTTATCTGTAAGATGGGTCCAATAATAGCAGCCTGCCTCACAGGCGTGTGAGGAGAAGAAAATGAGCCTATGTGTAAATAATAATATGCATAATGACCCGCATTTACTGAACACTACGCTCAAAACAACTCTGCACACATTACCTGCACTGGCATAGTGTCTGGCACACGACCAGCACTCGAGTGGCTCAAAAACAAAACCCAAAGCCCTGCAGGAAAATCCAGCTCCAAGAGCGGTGCCAGCAAGGCAGGGCACTGGGGCACCGCACCCAGCATGGGTCGCCGCACCCAGCATGGGTCGCCGCACCCAGCATGGGTCGCCCTGACCACACCTGAGCAGCTCTCATGCAGGCTCCTGTGAGCACAGCTCAGAAGCGGGGGAGGGAGGGGGCATGCGTGAGTGGGCCTGCGCCCAGCTGTTCAGATGGTGCTGCTGCCTCAGCCCTGGAGTTCCTGGGGTCCCCCTGGGGGGGCCAGAGTGACACACAGCCTCTGCCTTAGCCTGCCCGTGTATGTGTGTGTGCGCGCATGCGCAAGCACGTGTGTGTGTGTGTGTGTGTGTGTGTGTGTGTGTGTGTGTGTGTCCTTGGAACCACAGGGCTTGCCCCTGCCTGTGTGCTCGCTCCTGGGCACACGCTGGGCAGAGGTGACAGTGGAGTGTCGCTGCATCTGCCCCGTGAGGGTTGGTACCCTCAGGCC